CCTCTCAAACTGTGCATGTAGAACTCGATGCTTGCAAGGGTCTTCTCCCCTTCGGCAGCTGACCTGTTCTCCAAAAACAGCACGTCGAAGTAATCGGCCAGGATGGCGTCTATTTGATCCCTTTTTGAGTTCTTGAACTTGTTCTCCTTGCAAAAGACCTTGAAGTTCCGGTAGTAGTGCTGTACTGGGACTCCTGTACGCAGCTGATGCTGTGTGTCTCCAGCAGAATCATCCCACCGCCCTGAGCTCGCTTTCCCTCTTCTCCGTTGATCTTGAATTTCTTTCCCACTAGCACCTTCTTCTCCTCGGGCTTCCGAGAAGACCTCCTGAGTGTGGCCTTCCTGGGAACTTCCATCTTCTCGATTGGAAGCTGACTTCTCAACGTCCTGCTGGTGGAGCCTGAATTGTATCTCTGATGAGTTCCTCAACTTGCATGTATCCCGCAAGGTTCGAACCTCGCAAGGGGCCGTCTGAAACATTGCACTCCGAGGGGATCCACCTGACCCTCAAAACAATGTTGCAGGCCAAAAGAAGGGCGCCTATCTTCTGGTTCAAGCGCAACATCCCATGATTGCACGATCGCCCCTTTCCCAGGCTGAAGGCCAGAGCCAAGTTGTTCACAAAAACAAGGTGTCTCTTCCCTCGATGTTCTGAACTACGACTCAGCCTCCTAACCGCCAAGGTCAGACAACGTCCCTCTTTCAATGTGATGTGTTCGTCCTTGAATTTCCACTGCCCATTCAAAACCACTTTCCAGTCCTGGGGGTCTAACACTCTTCGTTTCTAACAAACTCATCTGCGCATTCGTGAGCATAAGGGTCCGGTCGAGCAGTTTGGAGGTCCTTGAAGGGGTCAAGTCCCAAAGCCCGTTCACGTGGTTTCCAATCCTTCAAACTGGAACGTTTGTACCTCCAACGCTCATGCCATTGTCCAACTGATTTGATTGTCTCCAGATCAAGCCTTCGTTCACAGACTCCAAAACCACTAGGGGAGGCATCAGTACATGTGACTGTATTGCTCCAACGAATCCTCATGTCCGCAACTAAAAGCGGAAGGATCCCAGAAAAAAGATTGCACTCTCGAATGGCGCCCTCCCAGAGCATCTTCCGCTTGAAACCCCGACCTGCGAAATCGTAGAGGCTCCGGAAAACGCTGATACCTGCTCGGTTCAAAACAAGCACAACCATTGCGTGTCCCAACAATCTCTGAATCAACTCTGATGAAACAGGATGTTCGCAAACATAGTCAAAAGCAAGTCTGAGGTTCCAGAACGTGCTCTGTAGGTTTAACAACTCCAACACATCCATCAATGATTCCGCCCAACGTTGGAAACTAACTAGTTGCACTCATCTCTTCATCAAGTGTGAACCCACAATCCTCCAACGTTTTGGCAAGCGCTTTCTTCCCATTCTCTGCTGTATCCGGATCAAGAGACACTGCGTGTGTGTTGTCACAATACGGCATAGAAACAATCTCTCGCCTGCTGAGCTGAGGGGCTGGCCTCGCATCCAAAACAATGCTTTGCGCTGTTGTTACTGCTCTGTATGCACGTTTGCGCATGTAATGCCTACACCAAATATAAAGACCAGCTAAATCCCATGGGGAACACTGAGATGCAAGGGCTGACTGCTGTGTCACGTCCAAAGCTGTCAAACCTCCCGTCATAACTGTCTCGCAACAGCTCAATGGCCTCCCCGACTGTCAAACCCCATGAAAGGCAAAAGAAAGATCGAAGCTGCTCCGGCAGTCGACAAGCATAAAAACAATCCTTGATGTCACCCGGCGAAATGCACATGGTTTCTCCTTCCGGGATGTCAATATCTCCGACCGCTGGCAAAGAACCAAGCTCTGTAACGGGTGGTGCTCTAAAGGAAAGGTTGACCTGCCTGCAGTCAAGGATGAGCCTCTGTCTTTCTACCATCTTGCCCTCCACCTCTTTGGGCTTCTTGCTAAGACAAAAACTACCAACTCTTCCCCGCACTGTGCTGGTGAAGTCCAGTACCCCCCCCGCCGCTTGAAGCCTCCCCTAAAAATTTCAGAAAGAACGTTTTGTCGCGGAGTGCTGGGTCGTTGTAAGTCTTGATCAAATGGGCTTCCTCGCAAAGCCACGACCAATTGCTAGCGATTGCTAGCATCTTGAAGCATCATAGTTTCCGGATCTCTGAGCATCTTGCCTGCTTCGCCCTCCAGCACATGCTCCACCCCAACTCCTCCGTTGCCCATCTCGGGCAAGGACATCTTTTCACAATGTCCATGTTCGCCACATCGCCGACACCAGTCATATCGCCCCCATAAGGACTGCTGGCTACACGGAGCGCTTGCAAGGCCCTGTGTGGCACGCACCCCTCACTGAGGCCCCCACCATCTTGACTCTTCGAAGGATGTGACGGACAGCATCACACTGCCCTGCAGGGAATTCCTCGAGGGGGATGGGATGCTGTACAACTGGTTCATAGTTTCCCGTGTAGAATGAATTCAAAGCAAGGATTGTCCGGTTCACCTCAGACCCGACATGGCGTCGTCTCTCAATCCTCCTCTTCACACCTCGGCTGAGACCACATCTCTCTGCCTCTCCATTGCTTGGCCTGGGCAACCCCCCAATTTGGCACGATTTTCTGAAGGTTGTTCAGGTGAGTCAACTCACAAAAATCCAGAGCCCTCCAAAAGAAAACAATCCTCCGTAGCGCTCAATGCAGGATGTTCAACCCCCTGGCGACGTCCCCTCCTCACTTCTTCGGCCCCCCCTTCTGCCTTGAGGGGGTGAATCTGTTTTGCCTTTGCTCTTCCCAGATCCTTTTGCCTCTCGCATCTTGCGCTTCTCCTTCAAGACCTGGCTCTCCTCATGCATCCTCTTGGCAACGCGCTCTGTCAGGCTGGGGGTGACAATGCCTCCTCCTGGTCTGTATTGAACGCCCATGAAGTAGTCCGATGCCTCGTAACTGGGCTGAGCAGGATTCCCGACGTGGGCCTCACACAGCAACTGTTTCCTGCGAACGATCATCTCGAAGGCCAGGCTGTTGCAAACATTGAGCCCGTCAATTTTGATTGCCGCGTCCAATACTTTGCTCAGCACTTCGTCTTCAAAAACCGCTCTGTCTCCTTCAGGGATGCGGGCGTTCTGCACCCATGACAGGCGCTGCCCATAACAACTCTCGGAGATCTCAGCGACTGCTCGAAGGTATTCCAGGCAAGTCCTGGGCGACAAGGGGAACTCCTCCATTTCGACCTGCCTCATCTCTTGGATCGATTCACGAAATGTCCGGCATCTCTCTCCATTGGGCCCATACTTGATTGACAAGGTCCTCACATCGTCACTGACCAAGGGGTCGTCACCCAGCTTGGCCTCCATCATCCTGGCGGCCTGGATGACTTGCTCACAAAGCTCCCCAATGTCAGCTCGCTTGCGTTTCTGAGCCCTCACAACGAAGTCTTTTCCATCCTTGCCCAACACATGAACAAGAGCATGGTTCCCCTCCTGAGGACTACCGGCTGCGAGTGTGAGCTCCTCGCCAATCTTGTGGCCATCAACGTGTTCAACCAACACCCATACCTCAGCATCATCGCCATCATCTCCGCCTCCAGCTCGCAGTGTCGGGGCCCCCACGGCGGCAGGAGCTGCAACTGCTGCTCCTGCTCCTCCTCCCGCAGGGGCTGCCGGACCAAGCCCGCGCCTGATCTTCTCAGCTTCGGCTGCTCGCTGTCCTTGGGACATGATCCTGGCGTATTCCTGCGCAGTCATTGGCTGAAAGGCGTAGATTGAACCACGTGGGACTCTTCTTGGGATTGCTCCTGTACTGCTATGAAAGAACTGCGAAATATCTCCGTTCCTTGCATTGAGTTCCTCAGGATACAAGTCCAAGTCGGGTGTAGCAATGAGCCACTCATCATTCTCAATATGGGCCGTGGCCAATCGTGTATGGAAAACTCCAGGATATCCATGATATTCAACGTAACAAAGGTCTCCAATTCGTACGCTCATTGGTCAAGGATCTGTAGTCCATGCGGAGCCCCGTACCAGCCCTTTCCAGATTTTCCCTTTACGGACAGCGTCACCTCGTGCTCGCCTCGATCGTTCTGCCTCACAGTGACCCTCAAAACAAGCACAAAGTTCAAAGCCAGCTAAATCGGGATGATGGTCACTCCGCCAACCCAAAACCACGATTGATCCTGTCGCCCGCACTGACAGTGGCAGGGGGGAGGATCTCGAGGGGCTTCTTGACTGAGATACCACCCAACAATGACCCCACAGCCAGCCAGCGCCAGGGCCTGCGCTTCCACGTGCGACCTACCCTGAAAGCAAAAGTGTGACTTGAGAACAAGACCACGGCAAACAATCTGCTTAGCAGAAAGGAATAGGTGACATTATGATGATGACAATTGTGGACAACGCTTAAAAAATATTATCTTTATTGATTTGGTTTGATTGTTGTGATCAAAAAGCACAAGTAAAATATAAATAAACATAGTCATAGTCCTATTCAACTATATATATATATATGCCGTAACTTCTCATTAGTCGTTTAACATATCCTATGTCTTGGTTGAATGGTAGAGTTTATTCGCTTGGTTATTGGGGGCGGGTCGCATTATACCAATTATCATGATGAGGCGTTTGCCGTGTTCGTGTTGAATTTACTTTTACTCTTCGCTTTCTGTGAACCTGTTTGTTTGATGTGCTTGTTCAAACCGTAGTTTCGGTGGCGTAGTTTCTGAATCGTAGTTTCTCACAGCTGTTGGGAGGCCTACAAATTAGAAGGATGTGGTGAACACCAAAGCCCCCGTCAAAGCATGTAAAACATGTAAAACCCAGGCTGATAAAAAGGAACTCGACAGATTCACCCACATCTTCTTGTCCGCTCAGTTGGCCACTGCTGGACAACAGCTGGACTGCCAGCTCCAAAATGGAATGACTTGGCGGGGATGTGACGGTCTCTCGGAATCTGTACAGCAAAATGTGGATCAACTTGCACCTGACACTCAGCCTACTGCAATCAAGCAGCCAGCCATTTGCCTGCTGGGAATGCAAGCTTCAAATATGATGGCATGGGCACAAGAGATGGGTTTGAGCCTCCCAAAGCAACGAATGTACTGAATGTACATCTGGCTGTGCATCCAATCTAACATCTTATGCGCCGCACTACAGCAAACTCGGCCGCAAACCGTTCGAGCCCGTCCTGGATACCTTCGGCCACGAGTTGCACGCAATGCCAAATCCAAACGCCAACGCTCCAGTGGCTGCAGGATTGACAAGCACGCATGCAAAGATAGTTCTGATTCCTCGGGCCGGGCCGGCATTATAAAGGAATGTTGCAGGCATTCCTGCACTTGGAAAACCCTGCGCGACACAAAGCTTTTACATGTGCACAACATTCACTGTTTGTTTGTCTAGAGCACCCACTTGCTGGTGGAACGTGGGGTCTATGAAAGATCAA